CGCAGAGCAGGCATCAAACAGATTCAGTTTGATTCCCTGTGTAAAGTAGTCAGGTTTTTGTAGCCTCTTGCTCTCCTTGTAAATACTAAAATGCTAAGAACGACAATATGGAAATAGTCAATATCAAGCAGAGTCTTTCAAGTCATCAACTAGCCTAACATGGTTGATTTATTTTTTAGGGAAAAAAACAGTTGATTAATCACAGATGTACATGTTTCTAGTGTTAAGAAAGCTGGGACTAGAATGAGAATTCCTATTTCCCTTCCAGTTTCAAAAATTTGCCTATTTGTTGGAGGTAACTTTATCTTCTAGTTTGAGGGGGTCAGAACCATGCTGCCTGCCCTTTAGCTTCAAAAATATATTTATGGACTCTCAGTGAACTCTCTGACCTCACTACCAGAGCAACATATGTGGTTTTTACTTTGAGAGAAATGGCAGTTAAATGCCTTCTTTTTTTATTGTGGCTATGAATTATAAAACAAAGCCCATCCATTAGATTTTTTTAAAACACTTTATTGAATTACAATGCTGTTGCTACTTGAGCAAATAGTGATTTATTAAATTTTATGGTTTCTTGTTGGATTGGTATTACTGTGTGTGATCGTTATATGTGCATTGTTGGTTTTTTTTTTCCTCTCCAAGATGGCCATCTGTTGCATTTCTCTTTTTCTAAAAGGGAATCTGACGCTCACTAGAAAGTTTTAACATACTTGAAACACAGTTGGGGTTAGCATACCCCAAATTTATTCCATCTGTTTTGGTTTTGAAAGTCCATGTTGTTCTTGGTTTAATTTTGAATACTCCTATTTCCTCTTAGCATGTTTTAGTGATAAAATATTCTTGAGCAACCTTAGAAAAACAATTTGCTATGTAGTCATAAAGGAAACTAAGCCAATTTAGTACAAACAATCCCAAACATGGTAATCAATCAAACCAAGTGTTTATCCCTAATTAGATAGATGGAAGTAGTATATACTGATAGGCCAGGGGGAAATAGGACACACCCATGTGGCTGTTCTTATAGTGAAGGTGAAAGGTCTTTCTCTGCTCTTGAAAATGCCTGTAATGGATATTGATATTCCCTAATGCTTGGATCTGGCCATGCCTCTACATAACTATATGAACTTGAGCACCTAGGTTTTTTCATGGCTATGCTCCAGTATTGAAACTGGTCTCCTGAGGAGGCAGATGGGAGTAAGAATTGGAGAATCTGGACTCCTGACAACTGGGATGGGATGGGAAAATAGACGGTAAAGGATCTCACTGGGAAAATACTGGCATGGAATATTTGTAGTGAATATTAACATTGACCTATGAGGCTGTAGGGATATTTTCTGCAAATTTAAGGAGGGGCAAAAAATCAGGTTTGACCTCTGAAGAGGCTAGTGGGTTGGTATTCTGTTCAGGTTAACAATGGTGATGGTAAACCTCCCTCTTTTTTTTTTTTTTTTTTTTTTTTATCTAAACACGCCTTTTTAAATAAAATGTGATATTTAAGCTGATGCTTTTATAGCGATGCAGTATTTTTATTAATGTTAAGCTTTTCCTTCTCTCCCAGTGCATTCATGCTTTAAAGAGCAAAGTGAAACAGTGCTATCATTTTGGTGTACTACTTACGCTTGGTCCACTTTTATGATTCCCTGAAGCCCTAATAATACCTCAAGAAGTACTTCATATTAAATCACACAGAAGAGAAGATGAGAAGCAGTTACACGCTGCACGCCAAACGAAAACTAATGCTGTGTGGGAGGATATGGCTAAAGCATGTGCTGCGAAACATGTCTGGCTAACGTTGTTTTGTCTCTTAGATCCTCTCCACTTGAGCGGAGTATACGTATTTCTTCCTGCTCTCTTCCCTCCTCCTGCCCACAAACTCTTGGCTGACTTGGGTTAAGAGTAGGAGTGGTACAGCAAAAGTGCAGTCAGACAAATATACTCATCTCTTACATTTCAGAGGCTCTGCATTGTACTATTTGGTTTTACAAGAAATTCAGTAGTTGATAAGTGTTGATTGTCAAAAGGGTGGGTGAGAATTTGAGGAAATAGAGCACAGGTTTTATAAAAAGAAAAATGGATTTATTAACTGCAGGCATGTTACATGATCAAAGATAGGCATGTTTATGTAAAAGTAAATCTTACGCAATCAGATACTGCCTTTTTCTGAGAAGAGTAATTCTAGAGGAAATAAATGCAACAGATACAAAAATGCAAAATAGTACATGGTGAACTCCCGCAGAGGCTTAATTGCCTTTTTTTTTTTAATAAACAAGTGAATGTGCCCTATTTTATTTGTATGGAAAGAACTTGTATGAACCATTATTGGGAGGAAAAATACATACAAATGAAAGAACAACTTGGCTGAGTGATCATAACGTATTCAAGCTAGGAAGTGTTGAAAACAAAGTATTTAATTTGTGCTTTAAGAAACTTATTTACAAGAACACCAACACTGTTTCCTCCTCTTCTGTGTTCCACTAGCAGAGTGGCAGAAGGTTATTTATTGAAATACCCATCAGCCGATGTTTGCTATGATTTCTGAAAAAAAGGCATCTGATAAAAATTAAAAGATGTATGATAAAATAAAGGTAAAGTTGAGTTTGATGAAAGAGCAGTCAAACTAACTTCTTACAGAGATTTAATAGGAGATTGTTTGGATTCCTGTGGAGAGCTTGCAGATGGTTGCGAGTTTTGTTTGGAATTTTTTTAATAAGTAGACCACTTTCTTCTTTTTTTTTTTTTTAATAAAGTAAAAAACCTGTCATGATGTGGATACTGATGGCTAGTAGACTTGCTTTTCTTACATATGTGCTGAAGACCCTTAAGCAGTAATCCAGGGGCCTTGAGGGATTGCAAGTTGAAGACCATTGTTATAGATAATTAATTTCTTCCTTATGTTTCCTGTTTCAACAAGAAAATAATGTTCTGTAGCACTGCTATCCCAAGATTTAGAGACAAAGCTGACTAGTGTAACTCTGCATCTGCTTATTGGTGGTACCCATTACTTAAAGGCTTGAAACCAAGTTAATGGCATCATAGGAAGTCTCCTTATCCATGTGCAGCACAACTACAGCTGTGGCTAGAAGATAATTCTGTAGATGAATCCTGATTCTGGGTGACTTGTTTTCAAGTGTTAGCAACTGGCTTGTTGGACTGAAAGTTTGCTTTATAAAGTTTATTTATCTTCTTTATGGAAACATGATGAAAGTGGTAGTTAATAGCAATTGTTATGTATGTATTCATATAGTATAAGCTACAGGAGTTCTTGGCATCGGAGCTGATGTATCTTAATGGTTACATGCCATTTGGGTTTTATTAGAATAGAGAAAAATCTTGACAAACAGCCTGATAGATCACAATTTTGAATTCCAAGGAAAGGATGCCCTTTTTGGAACAGCTTGAACAGTGAAGGAAAAATAAGAAATCTTAACTTACTATATTCACATTTTATGTCTCTTTCCCCATCTCAGTTCAGAGCTATAATTTGCACTTAATACTCTATGGAAACAGAGCAGGCTCACACATTTATGTGTAGATCCAAGGCATTTGGATGTTTACAATGAAGTGTATTGCTACATCAGTATGACTATATTATTCTACAAAATTCAAACTACCTCTGGTCACACTGGCAATATGCCTCTTACAGAAAAGCTGCCAGAAGAGGTGACCTGAACATCTGTGTCAAGCTTCAAGAAGGAACACAAGCACTGTATTTAATTTCCAGCGGTAGAAACATTCAACAAAACATTATTTATGTCACCCTTATATAAACTGTCTATCTACAAAACTGCACACACAAGGGGAAAAAAAATAACATATTTGACAACCTAGGAGAGTCTTGTTAATACCCTAGTGGCATATAATATTCATAGGAGTGGTGTTACGCGATGTATCCCCAAAAAAAGTATGCAAAAAAATTGCCGGGGGGGAAAGCATTGTGCTACATGACGGAAAAAGAAATATAGTCTCACAATAGCTAATCCAGTGGGTGTTTATCATAAGCATGCAGTCCAGTTGAAGTGACAGGAGCCTCGGTGGGAAAGTAATATTGACCTCATGCATATATAACTGTGGCTTGAGAAAAGCGTATCCTTTGACTGAGGAACTTCAGGCATTGTCATGCTGAGAAATACTGCTGATCCTGAGATTTGAGCAAATGGGCCTTTAAATATTGGTGTTCTATGCCTTTAAAAAAAAAAAAAAAAACAAAAACAAAACAACAGCCAAAACTCTGAGAATATTTAAGCAAAAGATAGACATTTAGCTGTTTTCTGGATTCTTCTTCCCCCTTTCCCAAGGGCAGGGGAAATAAATAATGGAAGTAACATTTGCAATAAAATTTGATGTTTGACAAATAATTTACTTATCTCATTGAGGCAATTATTTTTACTCTTCATGTGTATTCTCAAAGCAGTATACATTAGAAGATAAAACAAGCATATTCTTTCATAAAGTTAGATGACATATGGAAAGTATAATCTACTATCTAATAAGTATCAGCAGTGGTAAGTATGAATTATAATTGACGCAGGAGCAACTTAATGAAGCTTGACTGTTATAAGCATATAAATGGTGCTTATGTGTGGGCGGCCACATGCAGCATGAACACTGATAGTTGTGGTGTTTTTAGAGGCCAGGTTACAGGGTAGATTTCGATTAGATATAAGGAAGAAATTTTTTACAACAAGGATGATGAAATGCTGGAACAGGGTTGCCCAGAGGAGTTGTGGCCACCCCGTCCCTGGAGGTATTCAAGGCCAGGTTGGATGAGGCTTTGGGCAACCTGATGTAGTGGAAGGTGTCCCTGCCCATGGCAGGGGGGTTGGAACTAGATGATCTTTAAGGTCCCTTCCAACCCAAACCATTGTATGATTCTACTTCAAAATAATCTGTTCGATTAATCCATAAATCCAATCTGATATTCATTATTACATATGTCTTTTGCCTTGTTTCTCACTTACCACTGTTTCAGCTTTAAAATGCTCCCCTCGTTCTTTTTCCAGACTCCCTCTCGGTCTCCAGCAATGATGCCAGTCCTCCTGCTTCCGTAACATCCCTTCAGCCCCACATGATCGGTGCACAGAGCTCCCCGGGCCCCAAGCGCCCTGGCAACACTTTGAGAAAATGGCTTACCAGTCCCGTGAGGCGTCTTAGCAGTGGAAAAGCAGATGGGCATGTCAAAAAACTGGCCCACAAGCACAAGAAGAGTAGAGAGGTTCGTAAAAGTGCTGATGCGGGCTCTCAGAAGGACTCCGACGATAGTGCAGCGACCCCGCAAGATGAGACTGTTGAAGAGGTAAGTGCTTAGGGCAGCTTCCCGAGGCTTGTTTTTATGTTTTTCAAAGAACTAAATGTTGTTGTGAAGGTTGTCTCCTTAGCTGACTGTCCAGCAGGCAAGCAAAATGGCATGTGCCATGTGGTCATTCCTGATGAATGATACTCCAAGTACCATGCCATGCATGGTTTGTGCCCTTCTGCATTGAGAGTGTTAGTAAAGCTCTATGGAGAAGGATCTCTAGTTGAAAAATGGGAGAGTAGAAGCTTGTTCTTTGGCTTTGCTCTCTTATCCCACTCAGGAAACCAACTTTGTGAGTAAAGGTGCTTCGTGTTCTGGGCATAATTGGGTCATTTTGTATTTCCTTTCCTTTTCTTGTTGATGGATCAGGGAGAATATAGGGAGAGCTGCTTAAAGCTGTATTTACACCTTGAGCAAGAGTTAGAGCACAGAAAAATTACTGTCCCTTCGAATCAAAAGGTAGTTACCATCAGTCAAATAATAAACATGGTAGTTTTCACTGAAGGAAAAGAAATTGAGAACTATTCCAGATTCTGCCACCAAGGACATCTACTGAAGGCTCCCCTTCCTCCCACAAACGGGAGCCCATCCTTCTAAGCCTGGAACTCATGTATAAGCAAAGATTACCTCTGGTTGGGTGCAGACAGAGCCAAATTCTCTTTTGTTACAGACCTATGGTTCAGGCTGAGATGAATGGCATCTTACTGCTTCTAAGGGCACAGCCACTTGCATGCTCTACAGTTACTCCCTTTTACCAGGCTTGAATCCACCTAGTGGGTTTGATAGTTACTGTACAGAAAAGTGGTCTCAAATGCCCAATTAATTATTTAGTACATTTTTTTTTCTTGCTCCTGGAATATTTTGCTGCAAGCTTTGAACATCAGTGAAGTTATACAATAAATGTA